TGTGATATTAAATTGCTAAGATAATGTATGTTTAAAGTGAACCATAAGACAGCAATTATTACAATAAGACAACGTCTTAATAATTTACCTTTTGCATTAATAGTGTCTACTTTTGCTACTGTTATTATTTAAGAACATATTAGGGCTTGTCTACATGGGGAGATTCAGGAAAATTAATCCAAATTAACTAAAGGTTTGAATTTGAAGTGGATTAGTTAAACCACATTAAATCCCTGCGTGTCCTGAATGCAGTTTAGTTTATTCACTTTGGATGTGAATTAAGATAAACTGAATTGAGGTCACTGTATTTCTGAATGACGGTGTTTACTCCGGGGTATAATGCAGTTTAACTAATCCACTTCAAATTCACACTTTAAGGGTATGTCTACCCTACCACTTATGTGAGTATAATTTATGTCGCTCAAAGGTGTGAATAAGCCACCCCCCTGAGCGGCATAAATTACACCAGCCTAAATGCCAGTGTAGACAGCACTATGTTGGTGGAGACCTTCTCCTGCCAACATAGCTACCGCCGCTCGTTGAGGATGGATTAATTAAATCGATAAGAGAGCTCTCTCCCCTTGACTTAGAGCAGCTCCACTAGAGAGCTTAGAGTGGCACAGCTGCATCGATGTAAGCTCTCTAGTGTAGCCATAGCCTTAGCTAATTTGGATTAATTTTCCGGTGTAGACAAGCCCTTAGTAACAGAACATAGAATATTTGTTCAACTCAGCAAAATAATTTTGACAGCATTAAGCTGGTTTCACGAAGATTTATGTAACTTTAGAATGTTACACTTCACAAAGTATATAAAGGCAAACTCACAAATTAATAGGGCAAAGGTGATTTTATTTGGGGGCGGCAAAGACTTGAAATCTCCTATAAATGCCCTTCTGGACACCCCCACAACTCCAGATTCCCCTTAGTGCTTTCCTTTCTGACCTCCTCCTCTTGGCCAGTTTACTTTCCATTCCAGAACGGTCCACACAGCTACAACTGGGCAGGAAATTATTTTCCCCATCCTGTTAGAGTTTGAGATTCCAGAATTTTTTCTCGCTCCCGGAACGCTACGAAAATCAAAATTACAAAACTTTTCACACACTGATAATCCAGATAACTAACTAACTAACTAAATATATAGATACCTTTGGATTGGATCAATCAGAACATTTTGTTTCAATAATTTTGAAACATTTTGTTTCAGTTTTTGACCTTTTAAACTTTTTTAGTATAAGCTACAATTTTAAAACAAAATAATTTCATATCAAAGAACAAAACTTTTTTTGAAAATATAGAAATGGGGCATTTTGATAATTTTAAAACTTTTTTTTAATTGAAGCAGGAAGTTGGTCAAAACCGACCCTTTCTTGCAAATAGTTTCTGTTTTGACGAATCAATGTTTTCTGACAAAAAAAATGTTTCTTTGGAAAATTTCCAACCCTATCCCAGCAACTCCTTCTATGGGATAATGGCTAGCCCTCCATTCCTGTCTAGACACCCATCCCAGCCTTACAAGCAGCCATCTTCATCTGCAGGGAGCTCACAGTGCAGTATTGAGGAACGGGGGTCACAGAGAGTGTTATGT